ATCTCAGCTTCTCTGCATGCTTTCTCTTCCTCTACCCTCCAGATCCCAAAATCTTGTGGGTTTTTAGAGACAAAAAAAAATATCTTCTCCTCAAGCCACCAGTGTAGAAAACCTTGGTAGCTAAAGGGGGGGGGGGCGGTTAGGAGAGACAGCCCTCTCCTTCCCCCCCCCTTTTAAAAATATAGATATATACAATGCAGTCAATAAATACAAAACCAACCCTACTGTTGAACTCCTGAAAGTTCGCTTTCACTTTTCCTAAATATGGTGATCTGGAAAGGTTTTGATTTCGGCTGCCAACTTTCACCCTAGTTCCTTAGGTCTATGCGGGTTGAGGGGGGGGGGAAGAAGAAATCAGAAACCACCCCCCACCCCCAGATTATTAGGATTATGGTGGTTCTTTTGCAAACAAAACTTCCCTTCGGCATTCCTGCTGTGGCTGGCAAGTTTTTCCTTTCCATGATGGCTTGAGGAAAGGAGGTTCTTGATCCCTGGAGTTTGCAGCTCTCTTACCTCCGAGGAAGCCTCCTCTGGAATGCAGGTATCCGGACCCACCAGGGGATGACCCCTGGTTTGCCCCACCGGGCCTGGTCTTTTCCTTGTAAATCACACACCCCTTTTAAGCACGAATTTAGTCAATTACAAAAGAGGGTGATTTTGGTCTCAACGGCCCCTTTTGCAGGAAAGCTCCCTGTTTTTTTTTTGCTCTTTTTAAATGTGCCAATGCCTTCTTTTTTAAAAAAAATATATATTTATATTTCCATTTTCCCCCCTTTCCAGAAAGCACGCCCTGAACTGCCACAGAATGAAGCCTGCTTTGTTTAGCGTCCTCTGTGAAATCAAAGAGAAAACAGGTAGGAGAAGAGATTGCGAAAGTTGACACCACTTTGCACTCCCCCCAATCTGCCTTGTGTTTTTCTCTCCCCCTCTCTCCCTCCCCACCTCCCCCCCTTTTTCAAACCTCCATCTACACCCCGCTGCCCCATAAGTAAACATGGGGAGAGTCTTGTTCCAGGCAGATCTTAAGAGAGAGAGAAAGCTGCTTGGGAGTAACTGCAGCCATCTTTGATCCTTGATGCCCTGCCTGCTTCTGATCTTGGGGGCTTGCAAAGCGAGGAGAGAAGCCGGCTCTCTCTCTCTGTGTGGTGTACGTGTGCGTGCACGTGGGGAGGGGGTCTTGCCGTTGTCTGGGGTTCGGTGGCGGCGTTCCTTTGGCCGTTCATAATCCTGCTGCAGGAAAGGAAGATGAAATGTAAATAAAAAAGGCTTCTCCATACAGGGTAAATTTTACTCCCCTTGTTCTGGCTCCAATGGAGAAATTAACAGCAGCAGGATGGCAGCCTTGTTTCGATGTGTGTATTAAAAAAAAGTGTGTGAGAGTGGGGGAACCACTCTGCCCTAGAGATTCCCACCCTCCATTCCCCCCAACAAGTGCAGGGAGCTTCTTGGGCTAGTCTTGTGCGCACCGGAGTCTCTCCCGAACTTGGAAAGGGTTTAACCCATCGCTTTGTGTGTGTGTTTGGGGTTAAACTGTTTTTTTTGGAGGAAAGGTACCACCAGACCTCCCTTGGCTAAATTTGGGCATCTCTTAGGGGGTCCCTCGGTGTTTGCGCATGGGTGTCGGTGCGTGCCCACGTGCGTTTGCCCCTCTCAATAGGAATGGTGCCAAGGGCACGCGTTGGTGATTGCACATGGACAGACTTCCAGGAGAACACTCCGGTCTCTGAACGTGGGTGCGGGGAGAGGAGACGGCTCTTCGTCCGCAAAGTTCATTTTGCAAAAACGGATAGATATTGTGTGGTTAATTCATGCTCAATGAACCTAGCACCGGCTCCATGTAAATCTTGATTTTCAAGATATACTCTTTGGGTTAATTACTTTTTTCTTCTCCTAGATGTATGAGAGTATAAGAGACTAAAAGTGTATTCCCCTTCCCGCCCGAGTTGTGATGTCCTCTCCTTGATTTGGCCTAGATGAAGAATTTAGATGTAGGCAATTACCTACTTGAAAGTTAGGAGAGCTTCTTCTAGACATCTGACTGGCAACTGGGGGGGTGTTTAACATCTGTAGGGTACTTCTGGATTTCGGTTTGCTGGTGCGGAGCGTGAAAAAGTTTTTGTCCACCTGAGTGATCTGGTCTAGTTGTGGACACCTCTAAAAATACAACAACAACACAACCACCAAACACCTTTCTGCTTAGAAGACCGGAGAAAGAAAAACTGGATTGTCTTGTATGTTTGTGTCCATACTACCCATGTTCCACTCATTAAAACAGGGTTGTGCTGGAGGCTATAGAGTAGATCTAGAGAGCGGTTGTGTGTTTTTACGGTTCTCTTTCCCACGTCCGATGCGTGTTGAGGAAGGATCCCACAGTCTTGTCTTAATCATGTTCTTCAGATGGTTGTTATGGGCTGTCAAGTTGCTCCCGAGGACCCTATGAATGGAGGGAGCTCCAAAATGACCTTTCGTCAACTGGCCCTGCTGAGGTCTTGAATTTGCTTTATTGGGTCAACCCATCTCATATTTGATCTACCTCTTTCCCTGCTTTCTTTTGACTTCTCCCGGCTGACTCTCGTCTTCTCATACCGTGTTCAAAGGACAGCCTCAGTTCCGTCATTTTTTGCTTCTAGATAGAATTCAGGTTTTCTGCCTAGAACTCCTTTGTGGGGGGGAAGGAAAACCCTCTTCAGTTAACCTGCTGTTAAGAAGCAGATTGTCTAATTTTTAATAGGATGTGATTAGAAGAAAAATCCGTGTTCTTCTCATTAGATTTTCGGGTTTTTTTTCCGGGAGGGAGAGCGATCCATAACCATTGCAAGAAACCCGTTCCTGACTCTTTGGGAGGAAAAATCTTGAAATACATCCGAAGACATGCAGATAAATATAGCTTGCCCTTTATTTCAGGTTGCAGGCTGTTTGAGATGCAGAGAGTGCTTATGGAAAAATAAAATAAAAGAACATCCTTGGATGTATTCAAAGTGATACTCACCTTCTACTCAGAGGCGAATATACTCCTACCTTCATGCTTCATATATTACAGAACAAATGCATTGAGACCTTTTGAGCGTAACAGGGGGGGAAATAAGTATCTCGGTTCCCCTGTACACTTTGCTGCTTCTTTTAAGCCCTTGCTCCTCCTTGTTGTGAGGCTCCTGCTTCAGTTGTGGTGCTGACAAGCTCACTCCTGGGTTGTATTGTTGACCGCGGTGTGAATAGGATGATTGATCCTGTACAGTGTTTTGGCTTGCTTGCTTGTTTGAGTTTTTTTTTTTTTTTTAAGTTGGTCTTGTGCTAAGAAAAGCAGGACGATGACTGTTTGCAGAACGATGCCGTGGATGTGGGTTCGATTCCTGCCCTCTGTTTTGTTTCGGATTTCCATTTGTTTATTTCTGAAGTTTTATTTTCTCTTCCCCCTCCTCTTTGTATGCTCTTCCAAGGAGGCAGGTTTTGCTCCAGCCTGCGTGTTGGCCAAGGTTTTCCCTGCGATCTTTTCTTTTCTTTTAAGCCTCGCTCGGTGAACAGTGCAGACCTCCGTACATTACAGATGACCCTGGAAGGGAGAAAGGAATTTTTTTCCAGGACTGCTTCGGTCCGGGTCTGTTGTCCCGCCTTTAGAGGCTCATGAACGAAGACATTGTCTTGTGGCTTCCAACTTGCATTTTCTTCTCTCCGCCAGCCCCCCACCCAACCCCATCCACCCCGTGAAAATAGCAGAGGGGGGCCTAACAATGAGTCTGGCAGGTCGATCTGGCTGGGACTGCGACCCTTCAGGATTCAAGAAGGTGGGCAACGGAGGAATTGATAGGTGGGGTGATTGATGGGGAAAAAATGGCTCTCCACCCCCCACTCCCATCACCCGAGTTTTTATAGGGCGAGTCTTATTGTGGGCCCCCCTCGGAGATGAAATGGCTGAGCACACATTAGCAAAAGGAGCGTGAAAAGCAAATTCTTACATTATCTCGTATTGCATTGTCTTACTCTGGAAGTTGAGGAGGGCAAGCCGGTTTTCACATCTCCACTTCCCATGCCCTGGTTGCTGGGAATGTCTGTCTTGTGATTTTGCCCGGTTTGGCTGTTTTTTAAAAACCTTTCCACTTAAAACAAACAAAACAGAACGAACCCAGCGGCTTCGTTCTTTCCCCATCAGCCCTAAACGTCCAAAGTAAAATAATAAAAAATAAAATAAACTTTAGGGAAGAAGCATTTCAAGCAATAAAGTCCTTCTTGTTAAACCTCATTCCCACAACACTCTGTTGTAGTGTGATCTAAACCCAGTAATGCAAATGTCGGCAACTCTTCTGCTCTCATATATATACAGTATATATACACACCTCTGTCCTTTCTGTTCCTGCCTGAGTGTGCTACTTAAAAAGAAAACAACAACATTTCCTTTTGAAGGATTCAAATCATGTGTGAAAAAAGGAGCCACAGGATAATCTTAACCTAAAACTCTAATTTTAGACCTGTCTGTCCAGGTATTGTAGGTACTGTCATAACCAGCAGGGTATCTCTATGCAAAATGCCCCTTTTTGGTTTGAGTTTCTGGAAATTTAAATTCTGTACATCTGGGGGGAGATTTTATCTGGATGATGATGGACTAAATAATGCCTATGTGTTCCTTTCTTCGAGGTTTCGAGCCTCCATTATTGAATGATGATGGGCCTAACTATAGGGTTCTCGGATTCTCTGGCAGGAGAAGCCCGCGCCGTTCTTCGTTTTATTAGGATCGCCGAACATCGTGAGGTTTACTTTCCCTCTGTAGCACTTCCTGTGTTCAAACTCAATTTCCGATATTTATTTATTTGTTAATTTTTTTAAAAAAAAATTAAAGCACTGATGAGTTGCGATCGTTTTGGAAGCGGAATGAGAGAAAAAAAATTAAGAAGCAAACGCAATCAGTTTTTCCCTCCTCTGGTATGGATATTTACGCATTCCCTCCTGTGTATTGGTATGGGCGGATACTGTCTAAGACGCTTCTGTTTGTTTTTAATCCAATGAGTTCAAGAAAAAAAACCCAAATAAAGTCTGGGGAGCTTCATAGTAATGGGGTTTCTACCATGGTGTGGCAGTTTTCTTACGAATCCAGACTTTCTGAATTATCCCAGAGAAATCTGTTGTTCTCTACTGCGTTTGTTGCTCGTCGTGTTCTTCCTCCTTAAGTTTTCTCCGCCTTCGCAAGCTTATGTTCTCTCCTCTTGCTCTCTCTGTAGGGTTGTGTTGTTGTTGTCTTTTTGTTGGAGGATCAATTGTTCCTTTTGGGTTTATGGGGTTCCGATTTTGATTGCCACCCTCCACCCCCCCTTTAGGTTGATTTCCCCCTAAAACAGAGTGTGTTCACGCTGGCGGTTTCTGAAAAAAAAGAAACCAATCCTCCACCACCATCCCATGTTGTCTTGTTGAGTTTCGAACCAATCACCGTAAGCGGGGTGTGGGTTTCCCAGCATGGAAGACTCCTTAAGAGTCCAATGATGATAGCTACCAACCAAACCTTGATTTAAGGCTAGGTCAACCCTATGTTGACAGTCATTTTCTAGTTAACTCTTAACAGTGTGTGCTGTACTACATCTTCGGGTCGTAAGCTGGGCCTTGGGAAGACCATAAAACTTAATGAACTTCTCCGCTTTAGGCTCCTATGGCCCAAGGAGGGGAGAGAGAGCAGGGTGTCTGAGCTTTTTGTCATTTTTTTTGATGGAGGTGTGGTCCTCCCTGTAAGCATCAAATCCTTGACTTCTTCCCCCAGGGCAAGAATGCTACCCTTGCAGTCACGAAATCATGTTTCCAACCATTTTTTGCTTTTTTATCCTGGCAGCAAGCAATGCTTCTGAGTCTTGCCCCCTGTAAACTAGCCAGACCC